ACTGCCATGAGTTTAAACATCCCCCTCAACTCAACCATTACAAAAGTCGTTTGGCACAGTCCTGTTGGTGGATAGATGTGTTTCATCTTTACTTCCTTTTACTGTCTTCCCCTCTGGTGCAAGTGCTGTCCCTTGAGATCTGATCAAAGGGCATTTAACAAAAGTGGAGGCAAAACACCTGGCTAATCGACAATCAGAAAAATGTATTCCTGGATAATGGCTGGCTAAATCAATATAGTTGTTAATTATATGCCATGCCCATTCCTCAGATGTAAAAGGTATTCCTTTCCATTTTTCCCCTCTCCTATGTGACTTCGGTCCCCAGGACTTTTAGATCTTGAGACTATAAATATATAAAATTCAGAAAGTTTATAATTTCTAATTATATAAAAAGCTAATCTAAGATATTTGTTTTGACGGTAGTTCTAGTTCTAAAAATGAAGACACTGGGGATAAGAGCAGAGGGGAGGGAGAGAGAAGAACTGGAAAGTGAATTTCATCAATTTCTCTATATTTCAGAATTCATTCCCACATTTTAGATCACAAAGGTGAACTTACTAAAGATCTTAATTGTTATTTGGCTTCAATCATCTGATGAAGGAATCCTATTTTCTAGTGGTTATTTGAATTTTCTCCAGCTGATCTTTTTTTGTTGTTGTTATTGGTGAATCCAAAAATATAAGAAGGACAATGAAATATAAGTTTGCTGTAAAATGTAATATCAATAGAGTATAACTGGAAAAGGGTTTATATGCAAAGTTGCAAATCTGAAATATAGATACTGATTTCCTTTGTGTGAAATGTAATCAAAGTTTATAAATTAAAGTTAAAATCCTGATGTTCAACTTTAGGTACTTAAATAATTATTTAAATATTCTGAATATTTCGATTTGATGCAGATTGCCTCAGTATGATTTTATACTTTCAAGGCTCAATTCTAGGTTTTTAGAGCAAATGTTCAGAAAATGTGATCTTACCTGTTATAAAAATTATCTAGTTCCCAAGAATAGAAGGGATAGGAAAAATAGAGAATATTTTTTGTTGAAGAAATGTAGATTTTGTTAGGGCATTATTTACTGATATGAAATCATAGATTTTAAATAATTCAACAAATTTTATTTAGATGTTTAAGGAGAAATGAAGTTAGAAGTATGAAAAATTATCCAATTTTAAGTTAAGATTATGAGGTACTTTGAGAGTCACACAAATTCAGTCAATAAATATTAATTGGGCTTTTAGTCTGTGCATTGTTATCATGTTTTAGTTTTTTTTTTTTTTACTATTTACATATTTTTCAGAGCAAATATACAGAGAAAACTTGAGATCTATTGGATTTACAAAGTTCCTAGACTATCATCAACCAAACTCCAAAAAAATTTTAAGTTGTTCCTAACATGATATGACTAAGCTACACCAAACCAGGGTGAGCCTTAAGTGCCAGAGTCAGTTGTTGGTGGGAAAGGCAATTGCTTACATATGACTTAAAACCAGTAGCTATGAAACCCATTTTGATTTAAAGACAATGAGAAAAGAAATTTCATTTAAAGTTTGTTGCCCACATGAAAACAAAAGCAGTTGAATAAAGCATATACTAAACTGCCCAAATTTATGAAAAGCAAGAGCTTCTAGGGGACTTTAATAAATCTGGAAATAAGTTATAGAAATTAAATGCCTTGTAACTGAGAGTGGAAAATTATAAACCCGCTAACACAGTGAGAGAAGACAGGCAATTGTTAAGACAGAACAAGGCCTGGGTAAGGAGTCAAATTTAGTGTATTTCCATCAAACACAAGACCTAGAAAAGAGTAAAATTTTAGAAACTGAGGTAGTGAATTAGGATATTTAAAACCAGAATTTTAATTTCAATATCCACATGAAATCTCAGGATTAACAATTGATGTTAAAATTATGTAAATGTCACCATTATCTGATTCTGTATGGGGAATGGAAGCCTTTTCTTTAGGTAGTGCAAAATCAAGTCCCCAAAATAACTGGTTTAATTGTTTGATTTTTAATCTGTAATTTTTTTGGAAAATGTGAAGGCTATAGAGCTATCATGTAAAAAAGAGCTCGATAGCTCTATGCTGTGTAACCTTCATCAGTGTTAATCAGGTCCCCAGGGTGAAACTTCTGCCTCAGTTGGAATATCTATGTCCTTCCTATACTAAACATGCCTCTGACATATTTCTCTGTGTAGCCGAATCACTTACCAGGAATATTTTATAGAGTAAATAAATTTAGAAAGAAATATTCATCCTTCAAACGTGATGAGTTGAATAATCCCAGGTAGGAGACATCAACATCAGTCTCCTAGAGCTAACTGTTAGCTGCTTCAGGGTGGGCACTCTGTCACCTGATTTATTTGTATATCTCTTCCATACTCCCTTGCAGACCACAATAGGTTGTTTTAAAACTGCTTTAATTCCCCCCCTGCCCTCCCCATGTAAACATATTACTCAAAATTGAGTTTCTGTCCTCTGCTTTTCAATCAGATGAAACACCTGTGCAGCCACTAAAAAAGCAAATGGACTTAGTTTTGTTGCCAATGAAGTCTGGATCCGTTCATGTTCAATACCAAATGGCAATATATACCCACAACCTGGGGGCTATAAAACTTGTGAATCTGAGATCTGGAGAAAACCTCTGTGTTATTATGAAGGTTGCTATGGAGATGACTATGCGGGAGAAGGGAGGTGATAAGGGAAAGATGGTGGTAGGACTGTGGAATGGTCCAGCCTCAATTTTTGTAAGAAGACTTAAAATCTAGAGATTTGATAAACATTGTTGTGTATGTAGACTGACATAGATATCACTGCTATTAAATCAAGAAAATCATGGAAAGAACAATCAGGAAATCCAAATTAAAGTCTGGGTATCTTAAACTACTATTCATCACATCAGTTAACATATGTGTTGGGGATCATCCCATATTCACATCTGAATCCTTAATATCTAGCACAAGTCTAATATATACACGGACCCTCAGAAGATATTTGTTGAATTAAAATGTGTTGGAGAGCTAATTTAGATAGTAAAGCCCCTTATTCTATTTTCCCCTACAGTTCATTTATGAGAATTATTAAAACAGAAGGACTCAAATCTAGAGATATATCATATCCTGCCTGAGTGTTAAGAAATATTTATTGAATGGATGACTAGATGAATTAATTGATGAATAAAAACTTGGTGCCCCAGTTCTGTTATAGATTGGATGTATCTGTCCTTTATTTTTGTATTTTATTGATTTATTGTCACTTAAGTTTTGTTGATATATTAGTTATCTTAGTTTTAAGGGTGTAATACAGTGATTTGACATTTTTATACCTGACAATATGGTTAACCCACCAGTTCTAGTAATCCCCTGTCACCCTGAAAACTTATCACAATGTTACTGACTATGTTCTCCTTCACCTTTATCACAACCGCCTCCCCGCCCTCTCCCCCAGACCTCTCCCTCCTGGCAACCATCCCTTTGGTCTCTGTTTCTATGAGTCTGTTTTCATTTTGTTTTGTTTGTTTATTTTGACTTTTTAGATTCCACATATAAGTTAAACCATACAGTATTTGTTTTTCTCTAACTTATTTTACTTAGCATGATAGAATTAAAACCTCACTTAATACACTGAGCTTATTACCCAGTAATTTGAAAAAGAATCTGACTAACGAGGTCACAGTTACTTTCCCCTCACACAACTGAGTTTCCAAAGGAACAGATCACATTCCAAAATGAAAAGGCCCAACATATTATTGCTATGATCCTACGTAATGCTAAGGACAGGAACCCATGGAACTTCCTGGACCCAAAGCCACTTACAAGACGTCAAGCATTCAGGCTTCCACAAAATGTGAAAATTTGTAAATCATTTTGGGGTAACAAATTGAAAATTTTTGCTTTTGTTATATTATTTCTTCATAAAGCTTAAGTTTCTCTAGAATTAGCAAAAGAAAATGTTAAATGGCTTGTCTTTTTAAAAAAAAAAAAAAAAAAAGGAAAAAACTAAAGCAACCCAAAGAATCAACTAGAAACTTCTATTTATTTCTCTCTGCTTCTGCAGATATAGGATCTTAACCCAACTCCAGTTTTTAGTTCTATTAAATATACACAGAAATTCGATGATATCTGTTCTCTATTATGTGTACATATATAAATGTTTAACTTGTAGCAAGTCTCAGAACAGATGACTTGGAAAAGTTGATAGGAAATAATCAGGGACTGCAGTTGCCTGCTGGACATTATATCATATATAGCTCACTATAAAGAAAGACCATAAAACATCAAAATGTATCTGGGTGCAAATGGGGAACACACTGAAGCTCCTAATTGCCAAAGTCCTTTCAACTTCAGCACAGCATAGATACATTTTGAAGCATCTCAGCCGATGACATGGCATGGTTCAGTACTAATTTTGTGTTTACTCTGCTATATTGCTACACAAATGCTCTAAACACACAATGAACAAAATTAGTATAAATATAATACCATGTTAACTGCTGTTGAAATCCCATGGAAAATGTATTGTTGTTGTTGTTTGGTTTTGGTTTTTGGTTTTGTTTTGTTTGCACTTAGGCTCAGAACAATTCATGAGGTTTAAATGACCTTTATGGCTCCAGTTTGGGTTCATGCTTTTTTGATGCCATTTGAACACAGGACTCTTCATGGCCCTGCCTCCGGTCAATTTCATAGCTGCCACTGGCTGCTATGCATTTACTGTTCTGGTGGTTGATCTCAGTGTCTGATTGCTCATTTATGTGGTATACCACTGGTTTTTCTTTGCCTATCAAGAAACTGACTTTAAATTTCCCTGGGATCTTGTTACTCCTTCCATGGGATTTGATGCTTTGGATTATATTAATATTTATATATGTATGCCTATACATATATAGATATAGGAAACACACACATTAACACACTATAATATATATAAACACATGTATATTCACATATATGTATGTATTGTTTTTTGCAAATGAAAAATTAAAGCAAGCAAAACAAGACTGACCTAACCTACCTGTACTCGGCTCACATTCAACAAAGTCTTCATCATCGCTTGAACATTCAGCAGATGATACAAGGTCATCTGATGTTGGCTGTGCATGTCAAAGGAGAAATAATGGGGTAGGGGAAAGAGAGAGGAGAAAGAGATAAGGAAACCAATGAACAAAAACATAAAAGGCTTATCACTGTGTCCTGCCTCCATCATTATCACCGTTTCCCTTCCCTGAAGAGGGCACACTATTGAATGGAGAATTTTAACTCCTGTGTAGCTGTGAATGGCTCTGGGTCCAGACAATCTGTGTGGATCTTCTGTGAAGCTGACTCAAAGTGGTTCTAGGAGACTCCAACTTATCCCATTCCGACATATTGTGCAGCCTGCCTCTATTCTGACTTTAACTTCAATTTCGAGGGCAGGAAAAGGGCTATTGCAAATGGTGGGCAATACGAGAGTACAATCTAGGACTGAAATGCAATGCAGTTTTGAGAGGGTTTCAAAAGTGTAGAGTATATAAGGTCTCAAGTGTATGATTCAGTGGTTGTGAAGGTATAGGCTGGCATAATTAATGAACGCTGTGGAATGCTGTTCAGGAACAGCATAATGGCTTCTCTTGCTAGCAGTGATTTCTTCATGTAATTGCTGCAATTAGCTGAATTTGTAATGTGGACCAGCAGAGAGATACCACATGACAGTCTCTGGACATAGGTAAGGCGATTTCTGGAGAGTAGAAAAAATTTTGATTGCAACAGTAATAATTCAACTTGAGATGATCCCCCCCCCCAACCCCCATTGATTCCTACAGATATTCTGCCATGCCAGGGAATCTGCTGCCAGAAATATAGGGGACTGTGAGCACAGGCAAAAAGAAGGCCCCTTGCTACACAGTAGCTAAGAATACAGCTTTCTGCACCTGGTACATATTGCATGCACAAGAAATACCGCTGAGTTAATTGGTTAATTAATTAATGTACAGATCTTATATAAAAAACTTTTGCCCTATTACATGGATAAAGGTACTCAATATATAGAATATATACTGATTTCCTACTCTTACTATTCCCAATGCATTGAAGTCTGAATCCATATTCAAGAGGAAAAGCAATTACTAGCTAGATGCTGTGCTAGACATGAAAATATACTTATTAGTTATCGTCATTATGAATTAATCAGACATAATTCTTACAACAATCCTTTGGGATAGAGATAATTATTACCCTTTTTAAAAAAACTAAAGTTCAGAGAGGTTAAGTGAGTTGTTGAAGGACAAACAGCTAGCAAGAACCAGTGGGGATTTGAACAGATGCATCTTGGTCAAAGTCTGCATTTGTGGCTCACATAGGTTTCTTCATACCCTTCCTTACATGATGTTTTGGACTGAATTGTGTACTCCTTCCCCACCCCCCCAAATAAAAACGTCATATGTGGATGTTGTAACTCCCACACCCCAAAATGTGACTGATATTTGGAGACAGAATTGTTAAAGAGGTAATGAAGTTAAAATGAAGGCATTAGTGTAAACCTAATCCAACATGAACAGTGTCCTTATGAAAAGATGAGATCAGGATGTGGACACACCGAGCGGGATGACCATGTGAAGCCATGAGGAGAAGACAGCCATCTATAAGCCAGGCAGACAGGCCTCAGAAGAAACTCACCCAGCTGACACCTGGACCTTGAACTTCCAGATTCCAGAACTATGGGAAAATAAATTTCTGTTGTTTAAGCCACCTGGTCTGTGGTACTTTGTTATGACAGCCCTAGCAAACTAATATATATGACAACACATATGCTTAGTATTTTCAGACAACATCCTTTTTTTGAAATAGACATATAGGGATAGAATTACTGGACACAGTAAAGAACAGTAGAAAAACCACATAGGTAATTGATTTCACTTAACTGACAGTGGCAGAAAGATGCCTTAAACCACGTTATTGATCTTTATTCTACACCTGACAAGGAGATACTTCGACCCCTGCTCCTCCTTAAACTTAATAGAGAAAGACTCTTCAAACATACCTTTTCTTTTTTTTTTCAATGAGATACGACTGATGTGTGCATTTCATTTCTAGCAACTGACGTTGGCTGTTGTATCCTGGAGCAGCATTGTTCCCGTTAGAGAAATGGGGAGCCTACTCCCCTGGCGTTTCCCGCTGTGACGGGGCCCTCTATAGGTCCACTGCCAGTTATTTAAGGAAGGAAGGTGGCGAGGGAATCAATGTTAACTGTACACATGCAGAAGGCAATGATAAGAGGCAAATACCATTTCTGGAAGAGCCGTAGTCATTCTTCAATCATTGGCAGCAGGCATTATCTATAGGGGCGATACCTCCCCCAGGGCAGCGACGATTGTTTTGGGTGAAGGGAGCAGATCTTAGTTATTAGAAGGGTTTATGAGTCTAACAAAAACCCACAGTATTTAAATAATAAATATACAGTATATGAGGTATTAAAATTTTATGGGAGAAGGGCAATTAGGAAAATAAATGTCTAAAAAACTCCTTCGAGGGTGGTAATGAAAAAGAGGTTGAGAACACACTTGTAAAGTGTAATCGATTGGAAATTAATTGTTGGGACCTTCATTATAAGGACCTTGCAGAATGGCCCATATACTGCTTAACTAGCTTTGGTCCCTAGAAATGAGTGAAACCCGGTGAGTTAATGAAAATCTAATGAGCTCGTCTCAAGAACGGAAAGCCAGGCAATAAAAAGGTCACTGAGCAAATGTATAATGCGTAACTCCAAGAGAAACCAAAAGGCATTAACGTAATATTGGTGGTATTAACTTAATTCTAGGGAAGTCATCTTAATTTGTATTGGCCCAAGAAATGATGTAAAGTGGTTTTTCAAGGAAACTACTAAACTCTGAGGTTGAAAGGATATTTATTACTGTCTTTCAGTTTCCCCCGCCTCCTAACACTACATGAGTTCTCTCCCCTGTGGTTTGGGTGACACTGTCCATATCCTCACTCTCCTTCCCCATGACCACCTCAACTTCTGTCCCTCAAATGGGTCCTTAACTCCCACTTGTAGACCCCACACATATGCTCTTCCATATTCCTATGTCCTTTCTCCTCAGGTCCCTGTCCTCATGCCCCACTTGCCAGAGATGTGTTTTCTGCTGATCTGTGGGTGAAAACATGTTCCTCCCAAGCAACAAAAGCCCTTTTTACCCCCGGCTCCTATACATGGTGGCTGGACTCAAAGGAGGTTAAATGAGAGGCAGACTAGCAGAGTGTGGTTCTGAGCAAGCCTGACCAGGAGCACAGTGGGGACTGCGGCTCCTACACTTTCAGTTGGTAACCTGGCGGAGCAGGTTGCTTCCTGTCTCCGAGCCTCAAGTTTCTCATCTGTCAATTGGGATAAACAGAGTCTTATCCTTGGCGGGTATGTGATTTAAATGTAATGTTAAAAGTAAAGCGCTGTTCCTGGTCTATGGTGCATGCTCAATAAATATAAGCTAGAACTAACTCAGTCAGTCAATAGATCAATCCATCTATAATGGCAATGCATCTGCCATGAGGAATGATAAAGAAAAACATGCTTGTGAAGATGCCAAGAGCTTAAAAATAATTGAAAGATGGTCTGTTTCCAATAGCTCTGAGTCCAGGCATTCTTGGGGTCTTATGTGAATTCAGCCCCTTCTTTTCTTTCCCTCAAACCTCATCATCACCATGTACAGCCACGACCAATGAAACTCCCAAAGCAACGACAGACATCTCAGTCCCCTCCTGGCCCAACACTGTAACCAAAGCTTGTTTATCTGGAGAACACGGATCCTGACACTGCTGTGCTGGCCACAGACCACCGCATCGTTTCAGAAAAACTCTTTTTGTCAGGGGCAGCAAGCTTTGATTTGCAAGGGACTCAGGATTAGGAACACCAAACACAGGATTTTTTTTTTTTTAACTATTTTTGTCTCTGCCATCAACAATTACAAACCAAGGCTTTTGGATAATATACGCTTAGGGTCACATCCTAAACTAATGATAATGTGATTCAAAATCACCCTTGGAAAACCCAAGGCTTTCTTTTAGTAGCTTTGTAGTTCTCTTGTCTGTGTCCTTCCTTAAACATAAGTAAATGCAGGGTCTGACTCTGAATCTTGGAAGAAAAGGTACACTTCTTTGGCTGTTGGTTCCCGTGGCTGGTGCAATACTGCAGATACAAAGACTTCAGATATGGTTATTATGAGAACAGAACTATGGACTTTTGTCTTTAAATAAAAAGCAGTAGCCGTAGGCTGTGTATATGTGTGTGTTTCTCTAAAATTACAACCATTTTTCATAATTAATCATAATTCCTTCTTTATCCTCCTTTGAGTCTAGCCACAAAAAAGTTATAGTTAGTGCTCTTGAGAAGAAAAAGATATCTGAACTATCTAGAATGATGCCTACTGATAATTACCACTTATTAAACACTTGCTATAGTCAGGCTTTGTGCTAGGCAGTTAACACACATTAACTCTTTCAGTACTTAGAATAACGAAGGGTGTACCTTTTATAGTGACATCTGCTATTTTTAATGGTCCACTAACCATTCTTGTTCATGTAATGGTACTGCTTTAGGAAACTCTTGTAATTGTATAGTTATGTCGAGAGTGTTCATCAAGGTGCCTTCCACGTTAGCTTCACATTTTTTTCCCTCATAACGACTGTCGAAAGCTTTCACAATTCCCAATGGCTAAGCTTAAAGTGTTTATACATTATGGTTCCTATATGTCAAATGCCAACATTATAAGTCCTTCAAGGAAGAAGAAAAGATCTACGACCACCCTCCACCCCGATCCAAAATAATTTGATAGTGACTGGGCTACTAGATCTACCATCAGTGTTACACAACTATATCATCAAAGTGTTTTGTTCCTCCATTCCTTCATTCCTTCATTACTTTAATAAATATTTATTGAATATCTATGTGTCAAGCACTTAACAGTTATGAGGGATAAAGTGATAAGTAAAGCACAGTTCTGCTCTGGTTGTCCATAGCCTCTGAAGAGATAGTAAAGTAAACAGGCAAACTCAACATAGTAAACAGAATGCTAGGACAAGCATAAGCATAAGGTGCTAAGGGAGCGGCGAACAGCAGTTAGCA